CTCATGACCGTATCAATCATCTCCAGAAATGCTTGACGGTCACACGTCCGTCAGACCTGAACCAAAAACACCTACTCCCATGCACTCACTGTTCATATAGGATCAAAGTAACTTCCTACCTATGGTGTACTACGGAAAAACTCTACACTCTGTACCCAGGTACCCATAACCGACTTCCGAACAGCCCTTTGACCTGGAAACCAGGTTAGGATCTATTCCCTCCTTTAGCGTCACTGGATCGATTCCCTGTGCTGCCGTTCCAACCCAATAACCGGGTACCCATAATCATTACCGCGATGAGAGTGCGGACCCGTTTGGTGTCACTCCAGTAATCGGCATCCAAAGAACCACCCAGTTCAAGGGACACATCGTCGAGTCCTGTCCGAACTTCAACTTGGTCAAACCGATTGAAACCTGTCCAGTCAAACGCTCTCCAGACATCAAACTTAGCTATACGATCGAAGCAACATCTGCAAAATAGCCTACCTCAAACTTAGCTATACGACCGAACCCTGTTCTGTCAAACTTAGCTATACGATCGAACCCTGTCCAGTCAAACTTGGCTATACGATCGAACCCTGTCCGGTTTTAACAACTCTGTCTAAACTTACCTATACAGTCGGAGCAACGTCTGCAAAATAGCCTACCTCAAACTTTCGAGACTAACACATATCAAATGCTAAAACAATACTTTGAAATGTGATTGAACGAAACAAGACCGACAAACTCTACAAGCCAGATCAAATGACGAAATTGAAACAAGTCACAACTCTATCCATTGGGCAATGTAAAACCCGAAACGATCGAGGTTAGTGACTAAGCATCACAATTAAACGTTGAAAGCCAAGCAAAACATGAATCAACAAACACTAAACTTATTCAACAAACACTCAACTTATTCTATCCCGTGTGGCTAACTGCCTATCCACCAGGTCATAGCCAATCATCATATATTTCCAAATGGCATCGCGTCGCTTTGAGAACCATTTTATGACATCGCGTCGCTTTGAGGACAATTTTATGATTTTAGTGTCGATTCGTAAAATTCTTCCCGAAAATCCTTGATCCGCGTCTCTCGTTTCAGCCTCAACACCTTCTGCGCAATATCCTCACGGATTCTCGAGTTTCTATTGATCCTGTATACATGACAGGCGATTACAGCGCTTTTTCGGGTCTTGCTACCCGAAGAAAGATAAGATTGGCCCATCTTGAATTCCAGTGTTTCCGGTTCCCAAACGGACATCTCATTCCTCAATAGCTGAATCCTCCTGACGTACGAGCAAGTGTCACCCACTCACATCTCTAAACTGAAATGGCCTGGCCCCGGTTGAACCAGCCTAGATCAACCGGCCGGGTGCCAGCCCCGCCCTGGTTATATTCCGATAATATAAAAATATTTGAATATAACTGGCTTTTTGCAAGCAGACCGCCATCTCTTGCATAAGCAGAAGGAGACGGAAAAATGTGGACAAGGCTACCGTTTCGCAGACAGATTGACATCTGTCACACAGAATGAAGGAGATGGAGAAGGAAAACCTAGGGTCAACAACAATCATCGCAACAACCCACGTTACACAGATTGAAGGACGCAAGCAGGAGAGGGGGCCAAGGGGGGGAAGGGGGGGGGGGGAAGCATCATTTCTGGCTTAAAACCTTTCACCGAAAATGGAAAGCAGCACGTGCAACCATCTACCACACATGAGCCAATCCTCCCATGGATGAAAAGTCCTTGCAGGGAATCTCAAGGGTGACAAAGACGACTAAAGGCTGTCTCTTATACACATCTAGATGTGTATAAGAGACAGCATCATTTCTGGCTTAAAACCTTTCACCGAAAATGGAAAGCAGCACGTGCAACCATCTACCACACATGAGCCAATCCTCCCATGGATGAAAAGTCCTTGCAGGGAATCTCAAGGGTGACAAAGACGACTAAAGGTGGTGGGGAGAGAGAAGGTTCATTTCCAGTTGCGGCCTTGCATTACAAGAAATCGGCGAAAAGCATGAAGTCTTTCATTACAAGGAAAGACAACAGTCTTCCAATACAAATGAGAAACAGCGCACACACACAACCACCATCTACCATGAACAAATCCTCCGGTGAACACAACTCCTTGTAGGAAAGAAAGAGGGAAGAGGAATAAGAGAGAGAGAGAAGGAGACAGGAGAAAGGACGGCGAAACAATAGAGGCTACAAAGATGAGAGATGCTTCCCCCCGTTCTGAATATCGATGTAGGTGAGCAAGAGGACAGGAAAATGAACATCACTTCTCAATTCTTAGCAGAGAAAGCAAAAGAATCACAGAAATTGACAAAATTGTGCCGCTGACATACAGGGATAACTCAACTCTTTGCACCGTCGAATACCGGAACTCTATGCTATATCGTCTCCTCTCATCTAGCTACTCATCCGGATCCATTCCACCCGGGTTTTGCCTTGGCTTCGGACCTCCAGCAATTTTCGCCATCACGATCTGGACACACACACACACACACACACACACAAACATGCGCCAGACACATACACACAAAAACAGACATATACGAACATAAAAAAAAGAAAAGCGTCAGCATATTGGTGAAGGGGGACATATTATTTGATCTGAGAACGTGCAACAGTCTCTCAGGGTCCACAAACTTCCAGTACTACAATCATCTCTGACGTTTTCCCTCAATTAGATACCTAGTGGTGCAGTCAGAGTGCACGCTAGAGAAATCTGATGACGTTTTCCCTCAATTAGATATCTGGTGGTGCAGTCCGAGTGCACGCTACAGAAATCTGAAGCCCCTATCCTCCTACAGACTACAGGATTCAGGGATAGTTAAGAGCATACGCTGTCAGCTAGCATTGGCCATCTTCCATTAGTTGCCACATGATAAAGGTTTGGATGAATAACATGTATATGCTAAACAGATGTGAAGTCTATCAACTACCATCTTCACCGGAATGAAAGCCATGGCCCTGTACTGAGACTAAAACTTGTCCGCAATCATCGCCTGCACTTTAGCATTCAGGAAGCATTCAGGTTACGGCATTCTCATCAATGCTGCTGCCAATCGGGCATAGGAGAGACATTTTTTCGCTCGCACTCACAAAAAAACAGATACAAAGAGCCACTAAAGTCTTCACCCGAATAGAACTCCCGGTCATTATAGCCGTATTTGGTGAAACTCTCAGTCCAGGTACACAGAGATACTGATCGGGCCTTTGTCTTCGGGTGAAGACGGTAGGCCGCGTTTCCAGGCGGGAAGAGAAAAAAAAGCAAAAAATATAGGTAAAATATGCTGTGGAATGTACAGTTCGCACGTAATTCTCAATAACTTGTCCGTAGCAAGAGATACTAAAAAAATGAAGCAAAACCATGACAGCAACATACGGTACACATATTTCTCAATAACTGATTCACATCAACGAAACTCACTTTGCCTCTTCTACGGAATCATTTTCCTAATAATAAAAAGCATACATATGCTCTCCAGCACCCTGACACTAAAAGCTCACCTGATCAACTCTAAGTACTGTCTTCACAGCATCCGCAGCAAACCGCATTGCCCAGAACCTGCAATAGGTAAAACAAAAAGAAAGAACACAAGAATCAACAGATGGTACATTGGGGAAAAGAAAGCGAAACAAAAACACATAGTAAGTGGATCCTTCTCCTGATCCTACAGGTCATTCCTTCACCTTCGCTGTCCTGATCTCGCAAGTTTTTTTCTTTTTCCTCCAAGTTTTTTTTTTTCTTTTTTTTTTTGGGGGGGGGGGGGGGGGGGTGGAGGTTACCTAAGCACTTTTGTTAAGTTCCACATAACACGCCAGGAGTCTCAATCCTGCCAATTTCCATGATATGAGGGAATATTATATTTAGCTTCAGAAAGAAAAGAAGGGGGGGGGGAAAACAAGAGCATAATATCTTCTTCCCCCAAGGAACGGAAATTCCGGTCTTTATATACTATGTAGCTGCACTTAGTGCAACTTTCAGGCTGAATACAGATGTAATGACTGGGCATTGTGTTTAGGGGAAGAAGGTGGCACCTGTTATTGCAAAACAAAAAGAGAGAAAGTGCACATTAAACAGATAATACATGAATCCCTCTCTCGGAGTCTCTCCCAATCTCCCAGGTAATTCCTTCACCTCAGCACTTGTGGTTAACTTGCAAATAACAGGTCAAGAGGTCAACTGGTGCCAAATAAGAAAGGAAAGTGTGCCAGTGCGAGTGGATTGCATGTGGTGCGCGGAAGTGTGTTCGCCTTAGACACTGCTGCAGAGATGAGCATTTTTTTTTGGAAATGCCACTTCACCCAACCCACCAAAAAAAAAATTAGTACATGCAACCATTAAAAAAAAAAAAAAAAAGGTTTGAAGCTGATCCAACTCACCAGGCCGTCGGTGCGTTGCCCCCCTCCTCACCGCCCCGCCACCTCCTCCCTGCTGCTGAACCATGCACAAGTTGTGCCATCGCTGGATGACCGCGCCAAAATTCAAAGCGCTCCAAAAGTTCAAAAGTGGGGAGCGAACCTTGCCACCTGTTGTGCTTAGGTTCGCCCCCTGTTGTTTTAATGGGAGCGAAACTCAGCAGCCCGTTTGAAAGCGGTAACTCGTCCAAACGTGGGCCATGGTGCAGCCGCCAAGAGGCAAGAGCAGCGTGCGAAAAATTTGAAAGAAGGTTCCTCTTTTTTTTTTTTTCAGGAGGACCTTGACCTTTTTTTCTCCAGGCAGGCCGACGGCGGGACTTGACATTTTGTGCGTGCACCTTCGACTTTTTTAGGCGGGTGGACATTTCGTGCAGGGATTGAGGGGGTTGGGGGGCGGAGGGGGTCCTCATGGGTTGTCCTGGGTCTGTGGGTCGGGTGACCCAGGCCTAGCACTCACCCACCTGTCACCCACCCACTTGGGTGACCCTGGCCTAATGTTGACCCACCTGTCACCCACCCAGGCTGCCTGGCCTTGACCCGCCCTCAGCCCACCCAGGTCACCTTATCAAGACCCGCACCTGACCCAATGTCCTCGTGGGTGGGGTGGGTGCAGGTGGGTGCGGGTCTGGGTACCCGGTGCTCATCTCTGCACTGCTGTTACTTGATGGGGGTGGGGGAATATGAAAAGGGGAGGCACAGCTACTGCCAAATATTCGGTCCTTGCGTTAGCCAGATCCTCACCAACGGCCCCAACCCTGCACCCTGAACCACTACAGTAGGGCAAGGGGCAAACATGCAATACCTCCCTCCACCGACAGAGGTAATCTCCCTTCCCCTAGAGAGGTAGGTAGCTATGCTTGCAGGGGTCCCCTGTGCAGCCTTAGGAGGAAAGCGCATAGTGGTAGGTAGGTAGTGAAAGACGAGAGAGATCCAAAAAAAGAAAAAGGAAAGCACATACCCGCCCGCACATGAATGGCCAACGGTGGTATCTATGTCCATGCTCCTCTTAGTCTGCTTATGACACCGACCACAGTCATATTTTACCAAACTCAGCACAAACTAACCCAAGCAAGGTCCGCTCACATTATCCTGCTCTGTATACAGACTTTGCATGTGCTGGTAGCGTGCAAGCCTGTGTCGTTGCTCACGACCCCCACAGAAAAGCAAAAGCTTACAGACCAACCATCACCACTAACTACCCCTTCCAGCTACCCTGTGCTCCACCCACCTGTTAACACTGGGCTGCAGAAAGGTTTGGCCTGGCGGATCTCGTCCGGTGGCAGAACCTGGTAGGTCGTTGCCTGAATCCATTTGGATATTTAGCCACAGGCAAAATTGCACACCTGAGAAGAGAGGCTTGGAGGTAGTGGTGGTTCCAGTGTGTCCCTCACGTTTCCCAAAAACATAAGCCCGTGTCACGTGCATTCGTGCATGGGTCAATCAGATGAAGAATTCAAAAACTCCCTCCTCCAGTTATCACAGGGAGTCATCGGTACGTCAAGTCTATCGTGTAGCTGCATAGATGTCCATTTTCCTAGTACAAGTTCAAGGCCTGTACCACGGCAGACCTGTCCTATTGGTCCCATCGATTGCCATTCATGCCAGAAACGACAAACCACTTCAACTTCTATTATCATTCAGTTATAAGGGGTTTCACATTGTCAGTTACTCTGCACTTGCACCAACCTCCCTTTCAATGCCGCATTGCATCACTTTCCCTTCTTGACTCAACTCATTCTCGGTGAACTTATAAATAAGAAATAACGAGCGCGGGTCAGAATGAGTCAAATAAGGGCGCGAAGGCCACTCTTGTTGTTTACCAGAAACACAATCTGCCCAATGCATTGGTAAAATCCCCAGGAGGCAAAAAACCACTCACTTTGTGCAATAGAGGTCCCAGATGTTGTCTTTCGTCATGTCCTTGACGCCACCACCTTCAACGTCCACACCGACATTCACATTACCCGCCGCGTGAGCAGCATAGAGAGCTGAAATGATCGCTGTCGCATTAAGACCTGCATTCTCTGCAAGCGTCCTTGGCACAACTTCCAGGCTGTCGCCGAATTTCTCAATGGCATATTGATCGAGTCTGTGATCCACAGAACACAGGCACACAGCAGTCGAGAATCAGTTGGGTAAACGGGGAATGACGAGAACTCCAAGTTCTGAAATGGATACTGTCGTGTCACCAGAGAACAACGACAAGCAACAGCTGGTTTCTGTATCATCCATATCCCTCCCTGATTTTTTTTTCTTTCTTTCATCGATTTAGGGCCTTGCTCCACCACTCCCGATTCCTCAATTCTTGAGGAATCCATAAACGCTCTAAGTCCCCACTCTTGAAAATTGATCGGGAGTTGTCAAAGTGACCCCTTCATTTTTTGGAGTGCTCCACCTGCAGCACTCTCAAAATCGAGAGTCCTCTCCAGATCACTCGACCCCAGGGTGAACTCGAGGATTTTTAGTTCTTTTCACTCTTTTTTCTTTTTATTTTTGGCATTTTTTGTTCAGAAGAAGGGAAAAACCAAGAAAAAGAACGGGGAGTATTTCAAGAGTGTGGGGAATTGAGAGTGTGTGGAGCAACGCCTCCAAAATCGGCAAACTCAAGAGACTCTCAATTTTGCTTGCAAATCGATAGTAGTGTAGCGAGGCCCTTAATGATTGGGAAAAAGAATTTCGCTGACGAAAGAAGACATTGCATCGAAGAACGTAAAACTGCTATGAGGACCAAGCAGCGGTCAGAATGCCACTGGGTGCGCAGCAGGTCTCCGCCAGCTGCTGGTTCCTGTAACGTTCCCATGTATGCCTTAAGAATACCTATTCGGAAGAAGACCTATGTCAACAAAAAAGAAAAACGGCATCAATCCACTGGTACCTTCAAGGCTCTTTTCCTGACAAGGATTTCTTCAGCAAACCAGGGTTGCATACCTGCCGGCAGCCGACCCCAACCACCGACCGTATTGCAGCCGACCAGTAGGGCCAACTGGTTGGCGGTCTGCCGACCAGTCAGGCAACAACCATCCACTGACTTTTTTTCAATCTGAGTTGGGGGCTGTACTGGCTGGCTGTGGGCTGTACTGGCTTGCTGAGTACAGCCCAAATCCGCTGAGAAACTTTTGGGGATTTGGGGGGGGGGGGGGGGGGGGGGGGGGGGGGGGGGGGGGGGGGGGTAACGAGGGTGTTGGGTGCGGTTTGAGGGTGTTTGGGGGTATTGGGAGCGGCAATGGGGGTGTTGCAGGGGTTATAAGGGGTTCTGGACCCAAAAAAGAAAATTGTATTTTCTTTTTTTGCGGGGTTCCAACGACTCCCGACCGATAGGTGCCGACCAGCCAACCGTCGGGGTATGCAACACTGTGGCAAACCCCAAAAAACATAAACAAATGAACCAGTGCAGGCAGGTTTTCTCTCCTTTGGGCCTGGCGCCGGCGGCAATTTCGGTCCAGAAGGCTGAACAACTGGACGTGGTGCATTGATGACTGCGTGGAGCAGAACGGCTGGTAAAGATACTCGGGGTTTAATACCTTAGGAACCAGGCCAGCGAGAATGCCCTGGTAAAGGTACTTGGGGTTTAATACCTTCGGAACAAAATGGCTGGTAAAGGCAGCCCCGCCTAACGGCCTGGCAGCAAGTGCATTGAGAAAACTGAGCACCCGGGAGAATTCCGCTATACGTGCAGCCAGCTTGGAGCAGGTGTCGCTTGAATGCTCTGGAACACTAAGGGTGCCGGTTCACCACTAACCAGATGTGAAAAAGACAAAAGCTGTGGCATGTGAATCAGGCCACGATTTACAGGAAAAATACATTTGCCATTTTGTACAGATCTGGTGAGTAAGTACACTCCGATAGGACCAGACGGGTCTTCAGGGCTTTGCCATAGCCACCTGCTTGGAATCGCCCCAAATAAGAAGTTGCAGAACTGCACAATAAGGCTGCAGTGCGCTCGCACACCTGTCAGATTTCAGCTGTGTAGGATGCAGGCCAAGTGCATTTTCATGTCTATTCTGCAACGTTTCTAGACGTTCCAATGTCCAAGTAAATTGTAACAATGGCATGCTGCTGTTCATCACTGTCTCCAGGTCCTCTGTAGAGAATTGATCCTGCAATGTATATGCTCCCCAACAGGTGGGCAGCGCTACCTCTTGCTGTCAAGTGGCAATCAAACCCAAAAAAAAGAAACTAAGCCAGACAAGACAGACGACATGGGGATACAAGGCAGAGGAAATGCTGGGCTCAGGTAGATACGGTGGGAAGGGGTGGGTAAGTAACAGGCGGCCCGAGGGTCTGCTAGCCCCCCCCCCCCCCACCTTCTGCCTTGACCCTTTAGGGATTGTGCTGCAGTGTGCGTGGGTGCGGCTAGTAAGCTTCCCGGCATGCAGGACAATCACTAAGCAAAGCCCAAAGGGTGGAAACGGGTGGTGCTGGGGCAACCCCCCCTTTTGGATAGGCGGCTCGAGGCACAAGGGCTGGCTGACTATCTTTTCTGTCTAATCCCCCCCCCCTGCTTGTTTCAAAAAACTTTTGTGCCGGTGATAAGCACCTGAGAGACTAGAGAAACACAGCCCGAAGACAACAGGCTTTCGGTAGTCGACAATCGTGGAGATGGTTTCGATTTGTGTGCATGGCAATAAGACTGGAACGAGTATCTGATGCCACCGTCTGTTCATTCTCTCTCCAATGCTGTTTACTATCCTGTTTGTCCTTCGGGACACGTAAAAACTGGAGTGATACAGGGAAGACTACATTCTTCACCCATATACAACGTACAGTCACTATAACTGTATTTGGGGTATCTTTCAGTCTAAATACAGCCATAATTACCGTACATTGTATTCGGGTGAAGAAGGTAGCATGATGGCATGCATAAATTGTAGTCATCTATCTTGCCATTTGTTTGTCTGTGATTTCCCTAATCTTGTGTGTTTTTTTTCCTCTTTAAAAAAACGAGGCTTACCCTGTTTCCTTTCGCCCAAACTCCTTCAGCCTTTTTGCAACTTCAATTTCTGTGGCACCCGCACCAGGCACTACCCTTGAGTCTCGACACAGGGCCTGCGAAAAAGGAAAAAGAAGGAAAAACAGAAAACAAGAACCAGCACCACGACAGACCATATTGATTAGGTGCTAATCAACAACTGGCACCTCATCATCTATTCCCTCTCCTTTGCCATAATGAACTTTCTCCAATCATTGCAGACAATGACATCAATGCTGAGGTGTAACAGGCTGCTGCAGACAGCAGAGAAATCTGATCACAAAACAAACAAAACAATGCTGACAAGAACACACACACACACACA